CCCCGTCCTGGTCCCCGGAGCTGGGACGTGTGGCCTCCCACAGCAGAGGGGACCTGGTCGAGGCCCGGTGGGGGGGGTGACCCTGCGTCCTCACCAGGTCCTCCTGCCCAGGCTTGCCACGTCCGGTGACCACCATCGTATGTGCGTGACACCGGAGGTCGTGAGGACCCCCAGGACCCCCGGGGGGCCCACACTCATCCAGTCTCCAGGCCCGGCCGCCCACTGTGCCCCTGGCGCGGCGTCATGGCGAGGGACATGCTGGGCCCCTCCCCTCCACGGGCGCCAGGGCAGCCCCGGGCTCCAGGTGGGAACGACCACGGCGGGCGCCAGGCCCCACTTCCCCACCCGACCCCCAGCCACCCTCTCCTGCTGCGTCCTCCACGCTGCGTGGGGAGCCTGTCCACCTGGTGTGCACGCGGCGAGGACTCCGGGCTCAGCAGAGCCTCTGCAAGGGGACCCCTGTGTCCCAGAGGCGTCCCCAGGCCCTGCCGCTCACGCCTCGCCCCCGTGCCCACGGAAGCCTCTGCCCGGCGGCCCCAAGTCCATGCACTCCGGTCACCAGGACTGTGGTTACTGTGACCCCGAATCGCCAGATCTAACCCCGCATCCCCCGGCCCATTGGAACATGAGCACCACGGCGTGGGGGCCTTTGTCCCCGTCACGCTCTCCCCTCCGGCTCCTGCCAGAGGCTGGTATACAGCAGGGACTTGGTAAATGCAGCAAAGGCAGCAGCAAGCAGAGGGCTTCCCGGGGCACGGGCCCACCCTGGGTCCTGACAGCCCCGAGGTCCGCGCCAGGGCGGCTTGAGGGGGGACAGACCCGGTTCCGGTGGAGAGCCAGCGCCTGCCCCCGAGGGCCGCCTGGGCGCTGCGGGAAGCTCCCCGCACCTGCGCCGTGGGCAGAGGGTGGGTAAACTGAGGCACAGGGCCGGCAGGTGGCCCCAGGCGGGCCCCTTGAGCCGCCCCTCCCCTCGCCGCCCTGCTTCCTGGCCCTGGGTGCAGGGAGGACCAAGGACGGCCCCGCGGCAGCAGAGTCACCCCACATCCCCGACTTCCCCGAAGCCGCGGCGCAGAACTGGGCGTTGCCGTAGGGCCTGGCCGACCTCCGGCCACAGGCCACAGCCAGGTTCCCCCTTCCTGGCCGTTGCGGGGGGGCCTGTCCTGCTGAGCTGTGGAGGGAGCTGCCCGCCTGCCACCGCCATGAGGCCCGGGACAGGGGCCCTGGGCTGCCTGCTGCTCACCATGCCTCTGGCCCTCGCGCTGTCCATGGGGCCCCTGGGTGAGACCCCCGACCTGTGCAGCCGCTGGGCCCTCTGGGTTGCTCTCTGCCCCTCTCGTCGCGGGGACCGGGGACGGGGCCAGGCTCCAGGCATCCAGACCCTCCTCCCGCACTCGGGGACCCCCTCTGGGCCCCTGGCTCCAGCCGCTCTCTGCCCGCGCCCCCCCGCCCCCACCCCCACCCCAAGGGCCCTGGCCGACCCCTCCCAGCGCCCTTTTCCTGCCCGATCCTGACGTGCTCCCACCCGCCTGCAGGCTCCTGGGGCGCCCGGATCATCGGGGGCCACGAGGTGACGCCCCACTCCCGGCCCTACATGGTGTCCGTGAAGTTTGGCGGCCAGCACCAGTGTGGGGGCTTCCTGCTGCGGGCCCGCTGGGTGGTCTCAGCCGCCCACTGCTTCAGCGACAGGTGGGTGCACCCGGGGCCGCGCCGCCGCCGCCTCCGCCGGGGCGGTTGGGGGGAGGGCAAGACAAGTGCGCGGGCAGTGACGCGGGCCCACGTCCACCCCGAGGACGCCGCAGAGTAGCTGCGGCGAGAGCAGGGGACGCGTCGGCGGCCACCGTGTCCCTGAGGCGTGAGGCAGGACCAACCTACGCATCACGTCGTGCTCAGAACCTCCGTTAACGTGAACGTCGGGCCATGGGCCGCAGGCGGCGATGGGGGCCCGGGCTCGCTCTCAAGCCCCTCCCCCTGCAGGGACCCCCGCGTGGGCCTGGTGGTGCTGGGGGCTCACGTCCTGCGCACCTCGGAGCCGACGCAGCAGGTGTTCGGCATCTCGGCCGTCATCAGGCACCCGGACTACCAGCCGGCCACCCACGCCAATGACATCTGTCTGCTGCAGGTGAGCCGGGGGCGGGCGTGTGTCTTAGGAACAGCCGCAGGGACCCTGCGAGCTCCCAAGTCAGGTCAGCTCTGACCTCTCTGCCCTCCGTGCCCCCCACGCTCTCCCCGCACCCCCGCAGGCTCGCACCCCCGCCCCCCTCCAGGGCAGCTCCCCGCAGACACCGCCCGTCCCTCCGTCCCCCTGTCCAATGTCCAGCACCGCTGACTGCGTGCCGCCTCCTCCGGGAGGACAGGGACTGCCGCCCCCGCGCACATGCAGACCCGGGGTTCAGAACACGGGAGCTCCGGGCAGGAAGCAGCTCCCCCCGGAAGCCGGGCGTCCTCCTGCCCACACAAGGCGCGTCCCTCCTGGTAGAGGCTGCCTCCACACTCCCGCTCAGGCCCGGGCCCCCCCCGGGACCTCCGTTTTGAGGGGAAAACACCTCAGACCTGCTCTCCAAATGCGGAGAAAACAGGGGATGGAACCCCAACGTGGCGGGAACAGGCCCCTGCGCACGGGGCGGCGAGGGCGTCGTGTTCTCTCTGCGAAATGAAAAGGGGGCAGCGAGTGCCCAGGCCGGCCTGCGGATTCTGCTGGAAAACCGGGAAGCTCTGGTCCTCCCATCCGCTGATGCAGCCGGGGAAACCGAGGCCGGGGGGAGCCTGAGAGCCAACACCAGGGCCCGAGTCACACATCCCATGAGCACTGATGGAGCGGCCGCTGTGTGCTGGGCACTGGGGGCACAGACACGAACAAACAGCCCCGGGGGGGTGCCCTTAGAGCCGCCCGTCCCCGCTGGGTCGACGGGCCCTGACACGGGCACACGAGAGCCCAGAGGAGGCTCCTGTCGCGCCGCGGGAGGATCTAGGAGGGCTCCCCGGGGGAGGTGACATCTAAGCTGAGACCTCAGGGCTGGATGGGAAAGGGGTTCCGGCGGGAGGGCGGGGGCACCGGGGAATGACGGTAAATTCACTCTGGCCGTGAGCCCGGAGGCATTGACCCAGGACAGTGGGGAGCCCCGGAAGGCTCACAGGTAGGGGCGAGGCCTGGCAGGCAGGGAACATAAGGCCAAGAAGGGCCCGGGTGTCGTGATGGGTAAACCGAGGCAGGAAGCCCAGGGGCAGCTGGGGGCAAGCCCTGAGCCGGCGCTTTCCCTGCAGCTGAACGGCTCTGCCACCCTGGGTCCGGCCGTGGGGCTGCTGCCGCTGCCTCGCAGGGACGCCAGGCCCCTCAAGGTGGGGGCGCGGTGCCGGGTGGCCGGCTGGGGCTCCGTATCCGACTTTGAGGACCTGCCGCCCGGGCTGATGGAGGCTGAGGTCCGCGTGCTGGGCCTGGACGCCTGCAACAGCTCCTGGAGGGGCCAGCTGAGCCCGGCCATGCTCTGCACGCGCAGCGGGGACCGCCGGCGCCGCGGCTTCTGCTCGGTAAGACGCCGCCTCGGCCCGGCCTGCGGGGCTACGAGGAGACCGTGGCCGGGGGGGGGGCCGGGCCGGGGCCTGGGAACGCAGCCCAGCTCCCCCGTGACCAGGTGAGGCCCCCTCGGCGCACACAGCCCCGCAGACGTGTGCGTGCACACCGGAAGCGCTGAGTGGGGGCCGTAACAGGTCCCAGGACGTGGAAAAGCCCGAGACCAGAGCCGTCTCGGTTCAACTTCCAGAACAGCCCGGAAGGCCCTGGGCTCACAAAGGGCAAGGAGGGCAGACCGGAGGGTGGGAGCCACAGGCTCACGGCCCCTGAAGGGTTTCCCGGCGGGGAGGGTCCTGGCCAGACGGGCACCTTCCGGGAACGAGGCCCAGACGTGCGGCCGTGACCTTGCCTTCCCCCCACCCCCCGACCCCCAGGCGGACTCCGGGGGGCCCCTGGTGTGCAGGAACCGGGCCCACGGCCTCGTGTCCTTCTCCGGACTCTGGTGCGGCGACCCCAGGACCCCCGATGTGTACACGCAGGTGTCTGCCTTCGTGAGCTGGATATGGGATGTGGTTCGAGGGCCCAGAGGCCCCCCGCCCCGGGCCCCGGAGTCCCTGCGGGAGCTCCCTGACCCACAGCGGGCCTGGCTACAGAAGTGAGATGGCCAAGGAGCCCCGGGGAGGCCCGGCGTGTACGGGGCGGGGGCTGCGGTAGGAGAGGGCTCGGCTTCCAAACACAAAGGGCCAAAACGACCAAATAAAACATTAACTGAATAACCAGACACGACGGTTCACCTCCAGGGTCCGTCCACGGCCCTTTGAGCTGCTCTTTCCGCTCAGCGTGGCAGAGGGTCTGCTTGGCCACTGCCTCCCTGCGTGACCAGGAGCCACTTGCTCAGGTTCGTCATCTGGCCCGTTGGCTTCAGGCCCCAGGCCCCCTCGCCTCCGTCCCCACACTGACCCTTCTGGGCCTACCCACCCCGACCCCCAGCCCGCAGTCAGGGCCCCCTGGGCACGCCACTCCTCCAGCCTCCAGCTCATCACAACCACATACAAGTGGGGAGGCCAAGGCGGGATGGGGTCTCAGGGTGGCCTGGCTCCACGGGAAGTCCCTTCTTGACCCCAAAAAGTGCTTGGAACAAACTGCCCGGCAAGCAGCAAGTGGGGGGGGTGAGTGCCAGCTGCTGATCGTTGCCTTATTATTACTAATTGTATCATTGCTGTTATCACACCCTCAACCCTCCGGGCCTGTCCTCAGTGTCTGCAGCCTAAACGGGGGGGAGTCTTCTGGGGGCCCTAAGCTATCCCAACTCCCTCTTCCATCTCCTGCCCTAGAAGGAGGGCTTCCTCCCCCAACCCCCACCCCGCTCCACACATCACCTTCCTCAGCCGTCTCCCCGGCTGCTGCCCGCTGCCCAGAGGTGGACACCGAGGCCTAGAGCCGCAGCCCCCCAGGAGGGGAGCAGAGTCCCAGAGAGAGAGAGAGGCAAACCCAGGCTCGGACACTCCAGAGTGGAGTCTTTATTTCTTTGGTGAGGCAGGACCCCAGGGTGGGGAGGGGGCCTTGTCAGGGGCTCCGGGGAGCCCACTAATTACTCAAGGGCACTTTTCTGGGAATCACAGGTAAGGCACTTCTGAGGGGCGAGGGTAAGATGAGCACCACTGGCCCCTGCGCGGCTCGCCCGGACTCGGGCAGCCGGGCTCCTGCCCGTGGGGCCCCCACGCGTGGCCTGGGCCTTCGGTGTGCGTGCAGACACGGGGAGGTGACACCTGCCAACACCCCACACGAGGCCCAGGGCCATCACCCGCCTGGTGTCAAGCCTCCTGAGCTGGCAGGTGGGTGAGGAGGGTCCAGGCGGGGGCTGGGCTTAGGGGCTCGGCCAGGGCGAGTCTTGTGGGACTGAGGGTTCTGGTCTGGACCTCACCTGTGGACGGGCAGCAAGCAGGAGGGCTGGCGCCTGGACACGCGGCTCCAGGAGGCAGGGGGGCGATGGGCGCATACACCCCGCACGCGCCAGGGGGTGGGCAGGGGCCGGTGGCCCCGCAGGGTCCCGCCCTAACTGCTTGGGGCACCACTGGACATATGCCCTGCTCCAGGCTGATGCTGGCTGGACGCCGTGTCAGGGGACACGGAGAGTGTCCCTCCCCTCAACCCACCCCAGGGACATGCTGGGCGCACCTGGGACACTGAGGCCACGGGGAAGTCCTTGTCCACCGGGGCCTGGGTGGGTTCTGAGGCTCATACACGGGGCTGCGGACCCCTCCTCGCCCCATCTGCGGCCTAGAGGGCTGCAGGGCTGCTTCAGCCACTGCTGGCCGGGGGACCCCCACCCTCTCCGCGGTGATGATAACTAAGTTACCCCCCAGGGCAGACGCAGGGGGTCCTCCTGGGCAGCACCCCACCCCCAGCCACACCCGCAGGCCTCCTTCCCCTAATCCTTCCAGGATATTGTCTGGGGGCTCCTGGACCTCCCCCCGGCTGGTCCCGGTCCAGACTCTGGGGAGCGTCTGTGGGACATAAATTAGACTCGGCTGCGGCAATAAATAAAACGGGGAGGCCTTGAACGCCAGGCCCAAGCCGGCCCCACAGGCTCACACGAAGTTCTCCTCCTCCTCCGACTCTGCATCCGACGGCTCAGGGGCGCCTGCAGAGTGCAAGGGAGCAGAGGAGAAATGGGGGCGCGGGGAGGGGCGGGACGCCGGACCCCGCTGCTCCCCGCTCCGCGCCGCACCTGCACAGCTGCCCGGGTGGCGCACTCCGATGGAGCGGCCCAGGAAGCAGGTGGCCTGGCGGAGGTGGCACGAGGACATGTAGGTGACGTTGTTGTTGCCGCAGAGCTCCTGGCCGGGGCTGGAGGGCGCGGGACAGGGCGCCGCGCGACACACCACGCAGTGAGCGCTGCCGGTCTGGTCCACCACGCACGACTGCGGCCGCGGGCACAGGACGTGGGTGCACGACTCTGCGAGCGGGGCGCGGGAGCGGGTCAGGGGCCGGCGCGGGGCCGGCGCTGGGCCGCCCCCGCGGGCTCCCCCCGCAGGCCCCGCCCCCGGGTTTCCCCTGCAGGCCCCGCCCCCGGGCTCCCCCCGCAGGCCCCGCCCCCGGGTTCCCCCTGCAGGCCCCGCCCCCGGGCTCCCCCCGCAGGCCCCGCCCCGGGTTCCCCCGCAGGCCCCGCCCCTCAGGCTCTCCCGAGGGCCCGCCCCGCAGGTAACTCCCGCAGGCCCCGCCCCCGCAGGCCCCACCCCTCGGGCTCCCCCCCGCAGGCCCCGCCCCTCAGGTTCCTCCCGCAGGCCCCGCCCCTCAGGCCCCGCCCCTCAGGTTCCTCCCGCAGGCCCCGCCCCTCGGGCTCCCCCCCCGCAGGCCCCGCCCCTCAGGTTCCTCCCGCAGGCCCCGCCCCCGCGGGCCCCGCCCCTCGGGCTCCCCCCGCAGGCCCCGCCCCTCAGGTTCCTCCCGCAGGCCCCGCCCCTCAGGCCCCGCCCCTCAGGTTCCTCCCGCAGGCCCCGCCCCTCGGGCTCCCCCCCGCAGGCCCCGCCCCTCAGGTTCCTCCCGCAGGCCCCGCCCCCGCGGCCCCGCCCTCGGGCTTCCCCCCGCAGGCCCCGCCCCTCAGGTTCCTCCCGCAGGCCCCGCCCCTCAGACTCCCCCGCAGGCCCCGCCCCTCAGTCCCCGCCCCGCGGGCTCCCCCGCAGGCCCCGCCCCCACAGGCCCCGCCCATCGGGTTCCCCCCCGCAGGCCCCGCCCCTCGGGCTCCCCCCCCGCAGGCCCCGCCCCTCGGGCTCCCCCCCCCGCAGGCCCCGCCCCTCAGGTTCCTCCCGCAGGCCCCGCCCCTCGGGCTCCCCCACCGCAGGCCCCGCCCCGCAGGTTCCTCCCGCAGGCCCCGCCCCGCAGGCCCCGCCCCTCGGGCTCCCCTCCGCAGGCCCCACCCCTCAGGTTCCTCCCGCAGGCCCCGCCCCTCAGGTTCCTCCCGCAGGCCCCGCCCCTCGGGCTCGCCCGCAGGCCCCGCCCGCAGGTTCCTCCCGCAGGCCCCGCCCCTCGGGCTCCCCCCCCCGCAGGCCCCGCCCCTCAGACTCCCCCGCAGGCCCCGCCCCTCGGGTAGCCACGCCCCTTCCGCGCGCCGCGCCCGCCCCGGGTCACGCAGCCCTGCCTCCTCCCCACGTGAGCCCCAGCCCCGCCTCCCCGCAGCCCCAGCCGGCTCTTCCCCGCCCGGACCCCGCGGCGCGGTCTCCGCCCCCCCCCCGCCCCACGTACTGCGGCAGCGGCCCGGGTACATGACGCGCAGGTCCGGGTGGCCGCGGCAGCGCGCGGCGCGCAGCTCGCACTCGTCGCGGTAGGTGGCGCCGTCCGAGCCGCAGACCTGCAGGCGCGCCGGGAGCCCCGCGCAGTCGGGCGCGCACTCGCAGCGCGGGCGGCCCCCCTGCATGCGGCACGCCTTGCCCGGGCCGCACTCCACGCCCTCGCACGAATCTGCGGACACAGGGCGCGCGTCGGGGCGGGGCCGCGGAGCCCGCGGCGCCCCCGGGTCGGGCGCTCGGTTCCCTTGGGGGCGGGAGCGGGGACGAGCTCCGGCGTCCGGTCCCGCTCGCCGGCGTCTGTTCCCGGATTGACGCCCGGTTATGGGAAGGCGGCGGGGAGGGCAGGGGAGGGCTGCGTCGGCGGTCCCTGCGCGGGCCTGGGGTCGGGGTCGCCAACCCGCCGACCCCAGGGCGCGCCTGGCGCTCACTTCCTGGGGAGGGGCTCCCCCTGCCTTCTTTCTCGGCCAGGGCAAGCCTCCCCGTGGGGTCTCCGCCGCCCCCGCGGGCCCCGGGACCCACTAATGGGCCGCCCATCTCACAGCCACCCCCTCCCCCCCCGCAGGTGATGCCATGGTCAGCATTTTACCAAAAGGAGAAACCGAGGCCCGTCACAGCTGTGAGCGGAGGATGAAAACTCCAGGCCCCAGATGGACGCCCCCCCCCTTCTGTTGCTGTGGACCTGGAGGCCCGACCGAGCTCTTGAGTTCAGCCTCAGTTTCCCTGTGTGTAAAGTGAGGCTGACTGGGGGAGCACGAGCGTAACGCGCCTGTGCGGGTGCCCCCAGGTCACCCCTGCCAGGGCATGTGGGCTGCACCTGGGCACCTCCCACGCTGCTGCCCACACACATCTGGAAACGCTCCCCCTGGGTGGCTTCACAGGCGGAGCGGAAGTGGGAGAACTGAGTTGCCTTTCCCAAGGCCAGATGGGGGGGGGGGGTGACCTGGACCTCGTCTTGCCCGGCCCAGGCATTCTGTGAAGTCTGTCCTCGCAGAACCCCGGGGGTGGGGGTGGGGAGGAGCCAGGGCACACAGCAGTGAGTCCAAGACCACCCAGCCAGGCCGATCAGGGATTAATCACATCCCAGTAGCCAGCTGGGCCCTCAGCTGCAGCCTCCTCCCTGCCCCGGCCCCACCCACCAGGGCCGGATCCCATACTTTCTCCAGCTGGCACCCAGCACCCTAATTAATGCCCACCTCCTTCAAGCCGTGCCCTCACACCACCTCTGGGCCCCTGCAGCTTCGGCCGTGACCTGAGGGGCCTGGGAGGGTCCCCGTCCCCTTCTCCAGGGCAGAGAATACGTCTTGGCTTATTGCTTCGTTCACTCTGCCCTCAAAGAGCTCCTAGTCGGCTGAAGGAGGCAGCTGAGATCAGGGTCCAGAGGCACATGCTCGCTAAACATGCGTGTGTGGTCCCCCCACGGGTCCCTGAAATCTGTGGGGTTGTGGGCACAGTAAGTGTTCAGGAACGCTGACTGTGGGGTCACAAGCCCAAGCAGCCAGTTGGGAACCCCCACCTCCAGGAGCTAGGTGTGAGTCGCGTGTCCTCCTCCCAGGTGGGGCGCAGGTGGGAAGTCACCCAGGCAGAGCCCTCGGCGTGAGCAGGGGCCTGGGGGCTGGAAACCAGGCCGGGGGGTCCTCAGCATCTTCCTGACTCCTCAGCTGAGGGAGGCTGAGGCCCGGGCTCCTGCAGTCCCCAGCCCCTCTCTGACCCCGGACGCACTGCACAGACGCTCGTCCCGGCAGCCTCAACCTCCTCTGCACACCCCCGAGGGGGCAGCGCCTTCTCACTTGTCCCACGGGGCCCCTGGCCTGCGGCTGACGCCCACGGGCTCACCTTTGCAGGGGAGGCAGTGGACAAGGCCCAGGAAGCCCAGAAGGCTGATCTTGTTCCCCGGGTGAGTGAAGTTGGACCAGGCGGTGTCGATGTTGCTGGAGGCGCAACACTCCGCTTGGCTCACGTCAGTCTTGAGCACCAGGCTGCAGGTGGCCTCTCGGCCCTGCTGGAGCCAGCACACGCCGCCTGTGGACGCGGGGGACAGTTACTAGGCACTAGAGGTGCCCCCGTGTGGCACTCCCGGCGCCCAGGCCCTGACCTTCCACCCCGCTCCCCGCCCTTGGGGTGTATACAGTTGGTGCTCCGTCATGACAGCGGGGATGATGTGCTCCCGAGACCTGCGCGGGTGCTCGCATCCCAGCTCAGCCCCGCTCCTGGCGACCCTTCTGGGATTCCGCCTCTCTGAGCCACAACCCCCACTCGTGGTGGGAAGTGCTCCCCACCTTCCTGCTTCCAGGCCCCCAGGCCCAGGGCTGGCATCCTGCCCGACCAGTCAAACACCCAGAGCTGGACGTGTCAGGGTCAGCGGGCCCCGGGGCACCTCTCCGCCTCTGCCCTCTGTCTAGACAGCGCCCGAGGGCACGCAGAGCCCCCCTCGCCTGGCAGCCCCCCCTTGCCTGGCCCGCCTCTTACTCACTCCAACTTGGGAACATTCCCCTTGCATGAGCTCACCATCTCCCTGGGGACACGGCCTTCGGGGAGGGGGCTCGGCGCTCCCCCTCGAGCGGGGCTGGGGTGGGGCTGCGGGTGGGGCGGGGAGGCAGATGGCCCTCGGTTCCTTCACCCTTACACGGGGGCCCGAGTGGCCGTGGCCCCCCTGCCAGAGGGCTCCCTGGTTCCCGGCACCAGCTCGGGGAACTCAGCACCTTGGCACTCCTCTTACACACCGAGAAACTGAGGCGGGAGGGAGCGGGGGGGAGGGGGAGGCAGATGCCTCGCCTGGCGTCCCCCGACGAGTGGCAGGCGTGGCAGGCGTGGGATTCCCACAGCCCCTGTGCCTCAGCAAACCGGGGGAGGATCTGAGACCTCAGGTGGGGTTAGGGTTAGGGCCGCCCCGCCCTGCCTGTCTGCGGCTTGAGGGCTTCAGGGCTCACGTGCTGCAAGCCCGAATCCTGACTTTGCCACTCACAAGCTGTGTGACCCCGTGCCTCGGTTTCCCCATCTGTTAAATGGGCGTGATGAGAGCGCACACCCGTCGCTGGGCCGTTCCGTGCTTTCAAGGGGGAGGAGGTAGACAGTCAGCGCTCAATGCATGCAGCCGCGTTGTGCCTCCTACTCCGGACAGTTGTGAAAGAGCCACATCTGCCTGCTGACCCGCGGGTGACCCTCCTCGGGCTGGGGGAGGGGAGCCCCGGCCGCCCGCCGCGCCCCGCGCCCCCGCGCCCCCGCGCCCCCGCGCCCCCGACAGCGCCGCGCGCGCATTCCGGGCAGCCCACGTGGGTGGCCCACCCCGCCCGCCCCTTCCGGCCGCCCCACTCACCGGGCGCGGGGTCCCCCGAGCCCACGGAGCCCACGAAGCCCACGGCCCAAGCCAGGGCCCCCCAGGGCAGCGGCCACAGCGGGCCCGGCGCCCCGGGACGCATGGCGGACGCAGAGACGGCGGCGGCCCCGGCGGGACGCGCGGGCGGCGGGCAGGGCGCGGCGGCACCGACTTCCCAGCGCGGCGGCGGGCGCTCCCTATAAAGTCCCGCTGGCCGCGGGCGGGGCGGGGCCGGGCCGGGGCGGGGCGCGGGGCGGGTGGCGCCCGGTGTGTGCAGGCGCGGCCCGGGCGCCCCGAGGGCAGCTGAGCTGCGGCGGGGCCTGGGCCGCGGGGAGGCTCCCCGGGACCCGGACGCCCACACCCCCGGGGGCGGGACCGCGGTGACCCCCCCCGCCCCCGCCCCCGCCCCGGACGCCCGGGCTTTGCGCCTGCAGGACGGTGATGTCGGGCACCCGCGCCCCCGGGAGACCCGCGTCCCGGAGGCGCACCGCGGGGCCATGGGCACGTGCTGCCCTCGGGGGTCCAGGGAGCCACCAGGGGCTGGCGCAGGCTGGCAGTACCCAGCAGCCGCAGAAACCACACACACAGGTGGACAAAGGACCGTGTCACTTCAAAGAACGGCAGATGCTTTCCGGAAAATAAAAAATATTGGGAGCAACGAGGTATGGCCGGGCGACGATGGTCCCAGGTCACCCCCCAGCCCCGTATTCCTCCCCCTGCCCCCCGCAGGTGTGGAAGCCAGAGCTCCTCGCGGCCACAGACCCCACAGACCTAATGCAGGAGAGACGCCCCCAGAAGATGCCAAGCGCCCTCCTCCGTCTCAGCCGCTCGGCCTGACCCACACGCCCCGGTGGCCAGGGGCCAGGTTCCTGCCTGGTGGCCCCGAGGGAGGAGGCCCAGCTGTCTTGGCCTGTCCTTGGCCTCTGACCGTGGAGGGGATCCTCGCTGCTTGGGGAGTGAGGCAGGGATGGGACCCAAGTTCTCAGCGAGGGTGTGCAAGAGCTGGGTGTTGTGACCTTGGCCGAGACCTGACCCTGCCGCGGCCCCGCGCCCCAGCCTGGGCTCTGCAAACCAAAGGGTTATTGTCAGCCGGGCGTGGGTTCGAAACTGAGGGTGGTTGCCAGCAGCCTCTGCCCCCAGCCCGGCACGTCACACACACGCCCCCACACCCAGAGGCCATGTGCTGGGCGACCTAGAGCAAGGCACTGGTCCTCTCTGGGGAGCCCCCTTTCCATGCCCCCCTCTCCACCCTGGACTGGCCTCAGCCTCACCCCCTGCAGCCTACTTCCCGCCTCGCTCCTCCCCAGCTCAGACGTTCACCGTGACTCCCCAGGGCCCCAGGCTTCACTCCTCCAGACCCCCCAGAAAGCAGTCCCTGATGGGACCGATCAGCGTCCCGATGGAGGATGCCGTACCCAGGGCAGACGGGGGAGGTCGAGGCCGACTTCTCAGGGGAGGAGCTCAGACATTCACCGTGACATTTAAATGTCACATTGGACCGAGCAATGGTGGGGCAGGGGGTGTGGGAACAGAAGCGGCAGGATGTTTGGGCCGCAGGTAAGAGAGAGCCCACCTGGAAGGTTTGGATGGGCAGGTGGCCCCGGACGACACAGGTGGAATCAGAGGAGCGCCGCGCAGAGACCGTTTCCCTCTGCGACCCGGGAGGTGTCCGTGACCCGCCGTCGCCGGCTGTGAAGGTAGAGGAAGGGGCCTCGAGCCAGAGAATGTGAGTAACCTCCAGAGGCTGGAAAAGCTTAAGTCAGAGAAAGACAAATGCCATAGGGCGTCACTCGTCTGTGGAATTTAAGAAACAAAACAGACGGACATAGGGGAAGGGAAAAAAGAGAGAGAGATGCAAACCATAAAAGACTTTTTTCAAGTAGGCTCCGTGCCCAACGTGGGGCTTGAACTCCATCCCGAGACCAGGAGTCGCGTGCTCTTCTGACTGAGCCCACCGGCGCCCCTAACAGACTCTTAACTTGGGGACTAGTTGGTGGAGGGAGGTGGTGGGTGACGGGCATTACGGAGGGCACTTGCTGGGGCGCCGGGGTGGGTCAGCGGGGGAAGCAGCTGACTTGGGCTCAGGTCATGAACCCAAGGACCTGGGATCCAGTCCCGGGTTGGGCTCCGCAGGGAGGGGGCTTGGGATCCTCTCTCCCTCTGCTTTTACCGCCCCCCCCCCGACATGTGCACTTATTTTCTCTCTCTCAAATAAAGAAATAAAATCTTCCAAAAAAAATTTTAAAATAGGAGCTGGAAAGGCAAGGAATAGATCCCCCTCCCCGACCCCCGAGACTCCAAAAGGAAGGCAACTGCACCGATACATTGATTTAGTTCAGAGACCCATGTTGGACTTCTGATCTCTAGGACTAGAGGAGAACAATCTGTTGTTTTTTTATTAAAGATTTTATTGAAAAAAAAAAGAATTTATTTATTTATTCATGAGAGGGGCAGAGACACAGGGAGAAGCAGGCTCCTCGCAGGGAGCCCGATGTGGGACTCGATTCCGGGACTCCGGGATCACGCCCTGGGCTGAAGGTGGCGCTAAGCCGCTGAGCCCCCCGGGCGTCCCCAATCTGTGTTGTTTTAAGCCACTGAGTTTGGGGCAATCTGTCACAGGAGTGCTAGGCAGGCCCTGCAAGTTGGGTTTGGTGCCACAGTGACGCGGGCCCCGTGGGCTGGACGCAAACAAGGGAGCGAACACAAGCGTGAAGGTGGGCGGCAGTACGAGGCCCTGGGAGCAGGAAGCTTGGGGGGCCTCCAAGGAGGTGACCCTGAGGCCTGGAGAGAGAGGGAGCCCGCCGGTGGAAGCCGCTGCAGGATGTGCCACCTGGGCGAGGCCACGCGCGACCTCTCCCTGCCCCATTTTCTCATCCACAAAGTGGGCAGAGGTCCCGGTACTGCAGATCCCAGCCGGGATGCCAGGGCCGGCGCCCGGTGCGCGGCAGGGCACGCGTACAGCGAGTCTTACTCACCAGCAGATAGGCGTCTGGCCCGGGGAGGTGCAGCACGAGTCTTCCTTGCCCCTCGCCACGATGCCGTGAGACGGGCGCCCATTTCACGGAGGGTGAGGAAGGAAGTGACTTTCCGGCAGCCACAAAGCCCCACAGTGTTGGGACTGACATCAGCACCAGAGAAGCAGGATTCCAGCCCCCGTGGGCTGAGCGGCGGGGCGGGGCCCTCCCGTTCTGGGTTGGACAGTGAGGGCCAGCCCCCGGATTGTGGCTGGCATCCCCCTCCTTCCGGTCGCCGCACCAGATTTTCCTTTGGGAAATCACCTCCCGTGCTCCCAGCCCAAATGATCCCAGGAGCGGGCACCAGCCCAGGCTCAACCAATTAGGATCATCTGGCAAACAGCAGACCCTGAGGTGTTTTTTCTGGGAAAGAGACTCCCTTCCTGCCAGAGCTGGAGGGATGTGAGCCTAGAGCTGCCGGTGGCTCGTACCCATGGCCGGGGAGGAGCCAGTCCAGCAGGCCTCGGAGCCGAGAGCGGCGGCAGAAACTCCCTGTACGGTGATTGGAAGTCCTGGATCCAGCTGTGCCTGAACTCCTCCACCCCGTAAGATGAAGTCCATTGAAGCTGAGTTTGTTGCTTGCACTGCACAGAGCCAGCTTTCAGTAAACCTGTGGCCATTTTACTCAAGTGGAGCCTTTAGGACCTGCAGGGGCTCTGGGAGTGACACGGCCTGAGGTGCCAACCTGTGCCTCCAGGATACAACCCCAGGGCGCTTAGGATCACCCCCCCGCCACCCTCCTCCAGCCGGAAGCCTCCACACCAGCCCACTGCCTGCAGCGCTTGCTCTGGGTCCTGAAGCCTTCGGGGCTCTGGGTCCTCGAACCGGGCACGTGACGCCGAACCCAGGGCCGCCACCGAAGACTCCAGATCACAGCTGGGCGTTGCCCTCCCCTCTCACACCCGCCCCGGCTCCCCGCGGCCCCGGACACAGTCCAGGCCCTGAAGCCTGGCTTCTAGGCCCTTCCTGCTCAATCCGAGCCCCTTCCCGCTGCCACTGCTCCACCCCCAGGGCTCCCCGCCCACCCCCTTCCCTGCAAAGGGAGCTGATTTTGTGCAGAAAGCAGGCAGCATTACTTGCACCCCCAGCCCAGAGGCGAATGCTGATAGGCCAAGCCGGATGACGTCATGTCGGCCCCGCCTCTTGCTAGCCATTGGCTTAGCCGCAGCCATGTGACCCAGCTCTGGCCAATGGTGGGGGGGAGAGCCTGCTGGGGCGGGGCCTGGGCGGGGCCTGGGCGGGGCTGGCCGAGTGTGCACGTGACCCGGGAGCCGGAGGTATGAGGCTGCGGTTTGCTGCTGTAACAACCAAGTGCAAAAAAAACAAAACAAAACAAAGAACAAAACAAAACAAACAAACAAAAAACAGCCAAGTGCAAGTGCGCCGCTCGGGGTGCGGAGACGCCAAGCCCGGGGTGTTGGGTCCCTGCACCACGCCCGCCCCCCACCCACCGCCGGGCCGTGCTGGCCCGGACTCCAGATACGCTCCGGGGACCCGACTGTGATGGGGCGAGGAGGTCGCTCCCCCCCCCCCCCCCGAGCCGGTGCGGCCAGGTCCCCGCAAGCGGTGTCCCGGGAGTGTCCCAGGTGCGGGAGCCGAGCCGCCCCGCGGCGCCGAGCACGTGGTAGAGGCCCACGGGGTGGAGGGCCGTGGTTTGGGTAAACCAGTAGCCCGCCTCTGCGGAGGCCCCTGGGTGCGGAGGCATGGAATGAAGGCGCACAAATAAAAAACATCAACAAATGTTAATAAAAAGGGGAAAAAAGACATAACTCAAAATATACAAATAAAAGGTTGAAAAAAATAAAAGAAAAAGTGCACAAGTGCACAAGCAGACAGTTGCTCTGTAGGAATGTTGCCGGGTGAAGACCTGGGCCCGGACGGGCCACCTAAGCTACGGGCTCACTGACCTAAGCGCAATTCCCGCCATGATTTCTATGCGACTGTCCCACCTGCCACACGGGCCACTCACCTGGAAAGGGAAGTGAGCTTTGAATGTCGTCACGCGCCTCAAATTGAGATCGAAGCACATGGCAAAGACACAGAAAAAGGCTGAACCTGGCGGAGGCTGAGGAGAGGAAGGGCCCCTGCCCCTCTAGGCGCTTGACCTCCTGAGACCCCCCCCCCCACGCCGTGGATGAAGCCACCGCGGTGTCCCTGGGTGACAGG